TGGGGCCCCTCTAGCATGTGTGGTCTTGAAAGTGTGGGGGGGCTTTGGGTAGAACACAAGCAGGATTTTGTGCTCTCTTAGTGACATTGGCTCATGGGAGAAAGTTTCAAAAACCTCCTTTTGTCACTTGTCACACCCACAATTGATGTGTTAGATGGGCTTCAGGTCAGGCAGCGTGCCGGTGGCCCACAGAGAAGACGTGGCCAAGGCTCCCCGTGGCTGCCCGCCAAAAGGACAATTGGACAATATTTACAACTCAGTAGCGTGGATAACCCATGACATCTGTGGGCCAGTTACTGGGACCCTGACAAGGCTCCTCTTGGGTCTCTGTTTGTTTATGTTACCTCTTTATGAGCATCTTTAAATTTTACCTCATCTTATCTACAAAAGGATATTCAACAGATGCCCAATTTTAATTTGATTTCTCAAAAAGAAAGCTGGAGGCGCCATGTGCTACAAAAGAGCAAGTGCTGCTGTGCATGTAATCTCGAGAAGATTGTGAAGTCTCCTCTGTGATTGGAATTCTCTTCCCCAGAGCAAATAACTTTCTATGATAAGTAGGCTGCATGTTTAGCAGGAAACATACAAACAGAGAATGGGTAAAAAGAAAAAGGTCAGAATGAAGTTTCATTTTCAAAATATGACTGCAAGGAAATCAGGACACCTTATATGGTTTGCAAGGAGATATAATATGCATTTGGGCAAAAAGTGCATTTGGCAAATCTTGCTCTTGCCCCAGATTGCTTACAGTTGATCGTCCACAAAAGTTGACAAATGCTGTCTATAGTTATTAGAACCCAATTGCATTTTCTACTCAGAAGTATGTTTTTAAAAGTCTTCATATTGTGGTAGCATGCTTATAATCTGAAATGTGTTCATATTTATAATCTTAAATGTAACTTCATTCCTTGATTCAAGAAACATTTAGTGAGCTCCTACTGTATGTCACACCTTGCTTGGCACACTGAGATACAACGGTGAGCGAAACCCAGCCTCTGTCCAGGCAGAGTGCACGTGGGGGGCAGGGGAGAGAGCAATCATGGCACCCCAAATGCATCCAATCACAGACTGGGGCCAACACTAGAACAGGGAGGTGTGGACAGGCCCTTACCTCTGACAGAGACAGTTTGCTTTTTCATTAAGAGGACAGTACTTTAGTCCAGCAAATCTTTGCTGAGCAAGTACTTGTTACAGGGCAGGTGTTTTGCTAAGAGTCAGAGGGACAGGGTGGTTGAGACACATCCCTCCAAGGGGAAAGATGAGATTCTAGATAGATAGTGCCCACGTGCTGGGGTGAAGGCAGTGGTAAAGATAAGTGCAGGGGTCACAGGAGCCTGGAAGGAGCCCCGCCCTGTTCAGCCTGGATGTCAGAGAAAGTGTCCAGGTGGTGAGGGTAAAGGATGGTTACAAGTTAGCCCAGTGACGAGGGGGAAGGGGCTTTCAGTGAGAGGGCTCAGAGACACCCAGCATGGCGTGTAGGGATGCTATGAGCAGCCCAGGCCCGCTGGGTTAGGAGGGGACTAGGCTAGAGAGGTCTCGGTGGCTGCGCAGGGTCCCATGGAGTGGCCGGATTTGGTCATGTGGCTGTATTTCCCCTTCCTTCAATCCAGTATGAAGGCTTTGAAAAGCGAAAAATTCTTCTCTTCATAAGAAGGTTGAGGACCCCCCTATGAGAGTTCGACTCTTACCGTATGCTTGAGGCCACAAAAATGTATTTTATCTAGCCCCAGGCTCACTCATTCTCAGGCATACTTGGATTTAGGCCTTATTTTCCAAGTTGTTTATCTATGGCCTTGAAATGTGAATCAATGTGTACTACTGTCCCTCCCACACGCGTTTTACAAAGAAACAGTCTGAACATCCCATGTAGAAGTTGCAAGGCATGTGGCGAGTAGACTGTGATTGGACCTTCAGGATAAAGTGACAATCCAGGTGACATGCCAGGGAGGCTGTGACTTCCCATTTGCTCTAGCCCTGCAGGAGAGTAACAATACTTCCTATCTTTCACAGCATCTCCCGTTGCTTTTCCTCATAGAGACGGCGACACGCATGAGGTACAGGGGTCTGAGAGTCAAGTCTGTCTCCCACCCTGACTGCACCGGCATCACCCTCTCACGACCTCCCCACTGTTTGTACTTTCTACAGAAGAGCTGATTTCATGAGTAACATGTGCTTAGACATCTGAACTGTGTAGCCCTTTATTGTAAAAGCATCACCATTTACTTAATTAGAACCCTTGAACATGCCTAGTAAATGGTTCCTCTTTAGCAGGGACAGGTGCCAATTCTGGTTGATGGGAGAGCTACAGGTCTGGTTACTTGGTTCTGGGCCATTGGTGCATCGCTAGCTTTCCAGGGCAGCCAGGTGGCTCCTGTGTCCCAACTCAGGAGCATCTGAAACAGGGCTTTGCATCCATGCTGGGGATGGAGGCTTGGGCGCCTTGGTCCTGGACAGGGACCAGGTGTATTTATTTGTGCTCAGCTTCCCATAACCTAGCACCAGGCACATAATACATCTTTGTTAAGTGAGCCAGCTGAGTGAGTGACCACAGGATGCCCACTTTGCAGAGAAATCAGGGGAGGTAGACCTGGAAAACAGCTTGTGCTTTGTGATGGGCAGGAAGCGGGAAACAGGATCCCCATGTACATTCCTGGGGATGGGTGAGAGCAAGGCAGTGATTTGAGCCCAGAAGAAAGGGCAGAGTGCCTGCCTGCTAAATCAGCCTCTGTGACTGTGCTGGCCACCTGGATTCCATCTCCATAGAGTCGGGACCCAGAAGCCCCCATGCCTGGCAGATAATCTATTATATTCAGTGCCTGGGTCACTGTCAGCAGTCCTGTTAGTGGGGAGAGGGCTGTCTGAGACCACGCCAGAGGGAGAGCCCCAAACTGTGCTGCAGACCCTGTGCTGTCACAGCCCACCTTCCAAACTGTGTGTTAGTGTGGGATTTTTACCCAGAGCCCAGCAATGAGTAGGGACCAGGATGCCCATAATCTTTCATCCTGCTACGGAAATATTTCCTGACTTTTGGCAACATGCTAACTGGTTTTGGAGGAATCACCCACTCAAACTTGGAAGAGCAGAGTTAGCCTCCTTCTCTGACATTAAGTGTCGCCTGGTGGGCAAGCTGTCAGAAGGGGCTGGATGGTATTAGGATGGGTGGTGAGTACAGGGCTGGCAAGAGGGATGGAAACAAACCAGGGAGCTTGGAGCCATGAGGGATCTACTCCTGTATTTTATAATAGGATGCTGAACAGATTATGAAGTATGGTCTTAGGTATTTTATGCTAGGAAAAAGCATTCTAGTTCAGGCAGTAATATATATGGGGAAGTTGCAAATTGCTGTCAGTGGGTGTCATGAACAAAATATCTCTTTTTATAGTTTTATTTTCTGTAGAAGTATCTATCAGGGGTGATTATAAATTATCCAGGACTTGGTGCTGAGGCTCTTTTTACGTGTCTAGCCCAAAATTGATTTTGAGCTCTTTGCAGCATTTCTAAAGAGCCCAGCCTACTGTGTTTTATAGACAAATCCCATTGGTGGTGGGACAAACTATGTCACTTCTTTCTAAGCATTTTGTCCTATACACCAAGGATGCCTTTGAGATCAATCCCCACCCCTAAATGTGAGGCTGTGTATGGGGGTGTTCAGCTCTTCTCCCTCAGGACAATGTGGGGAAGTTGAGCTAGGAGAGAAGGAAGGGAAATCTCACCCCTCAGCCCTTGGGTGCCTCTGTTCCCTACCTGTTCAGCTTCTACAGCTCTGTACTGTGACAACCCTTCTAGCTTCCAGAAACAGCCTTCAGGCCACCCTGGTCCCGCCCACCCTTCCACCTTCCTCCTCCTCTTCTATCCTTCCACATGCCAGCCCATGCCACCACCTCCAGGCAGCCCTCCCTGTTGGGAGCTCACACGACACTGTTGTCTGCTGGGTGGGATCCCAACTACAGTGCAGACTCCTTGAGAGCAGGGCTGGTGCTCATTCTCACCCTGCCCATCTTGGGCCCCAGAGCTGAGCTGGACCCCAGCTTCAGGCAGGACTGGAGTAGGTAGGACCAGCGCAGCAAGACTAAAGCAAGTGTTTCTACTCAGGGCCCATGAATTCCTTTCTCCAAGATTCCTTTACAAATGGAAAAGCTTTTTCACCTTGAAAAGAATGTGCACACATGGTACTAATAATTGCTAAGTGCCCAGCAGTGGTCTGAGCATGTTATATGTACTTGTTCGTATACTAACCCTCACAACAACCCATGATGACCCCATTCTATAGATGAGCAAACTGAGGCCATGGAGGTTGACTGACTGCTCCGTCACCCAGTTGGTGAGTGTGGGGCTGGGTTTTGAATCCAGGCAGTCTGGTTCCTAGATCCCTGCTCTTCAATATCATTTGTACTGCCTCTCAAACTTTCTTCCTTGACTATGAAGGCAAATCATGCTCATTGAAAGAAATTTATAAAATCCTGAAAGTAATTTAAAAATTTTAAATTAGCAGTAACGTTACTACCCAAGAATTGCTGCTATTAATATTTTGCTATATCCCTTTCTAGATTTTTCTCTGTGTGTTTTGTTTCCATGTTTTGAGTGGCTGCCAAAAATTCTAATATACGAATTATCATGATTTACTTATTTATGTCCTTATAGTAAAATTACATCCGGTAACAATTCGACCAATTTCTTCTCTCTCTTCGTTTATTCCTTTCCTGTACATGTATTTCCTTTTTCTTCAGGTTGAGGGTCACCAGGTGATATACTGAGGTCTTTCTTTTTTTTAGTAGAATGACTTCAAAAGCTATCAGAGTGGCATTATTTCCCCCTCTACATACACAAGCTAGTTCTCACTTCTCAAGCGTAGTGAAAATGTCCCCTTGGAACTTACCATCCAAAACATCTACTATAACACAGACATTCATGCAAAAGGAAACCTGTAGCACCTGCAGAAAGGCACGTAAAGTCAGGACATCACTGTTAAGATAAGTAGTGGCTGCGTTTCTTCCTGGCAGGTGAAATGGCTCCAGCAGCAGGAAGTGAAGCGCAGGGTGAAGAGGCAGGTGTGGCGCGACCCACAGGCCCTTTATTTCAACGACCCCATTTGGTCCAACATGTGGTACATGGTGAGTAGGACATGGGCCTCTCTGCCCTGGGCACTTGCAGTGCTGTGTCTCTGAGATGGGTGAACTTCCCAACAAAGCTACATTTGCATGACAACTCCAGACAAACACACTTCATCTTGAGTGTAAAACCCCTACTTCAAGGCTATGCAGCATAAGCTTTCCTGGGAATTTTTCCCAAAATGATTTGCAAGCCCTGGGGGTAGGGATGCTCTGAGTAGGGCCAGCTAAATGGTAAAGACCAGACCCTGGACAGAGCCCTGCAGGGAGATGGAGAATGATAGGCAGTACAGAGAAAGCAAGGGGCGCCTTGTTTACTCTTCTGGATCTGGGCGGGAGGAAGATGACTTCTGCTCTGTAAGGCCGGGGCAAGGGTTCCCCTCCTTTACGTGCAAGTGCAAGCTCCTCTCTGCGGAGTCACAGTGGTGTGTCTGTTCTGGGTTGGGATTGTCCACATCGGGGGGCTTTGTGTCTTCTGTTGCACACAGCATTGTGGAGACAAGAGCAGTCGGTGCCGATCGGAAATGAACATCCAGGCAGCATGGAAGAGGGGCTACACAGGGAAAAACGTGGTGGTCACCATCCTGGATGACGGCATAGAGAGGAATCACCCCGACCTGGCCCCAAATTATGTGAGTCAAGCCTTGCAACTGACATGCAAAGATACTCAACTGGCCTGATTATTAAGTAAATGCACATTTAAAACAACAGTAAGGTGCCATTCCCCACCCCTTATCCCCTGTTAAATGAAGCAGTGAAGAACACGCTGCTGGGGAAGGTTGGGGAAACTAGCATTCTGCCAGCAGCCTTTGTCCTGGTGCCAGGGAGTGGGGCTTGGCAGAGGGATTCGTCCACATGTTTGAGGAGCCCCACGTACATCTAGGAAGGACACCTGAAGGACAGGTGTATGGAGATGGTCATCATGCAGACATTAGCAACATGAAGTTACAGGGTTAAAACATGGGCTCTGTACCCACACTGCCTGGGCTCCCATCCTGGCTCTGCGACTTGTTAGCTCTTGCAACTTGAGGTTCTGGGCAAGTTGCTCAACTTCTCTGTGCCTCAGTCTTACCACCTGTAAAATGGGATAATAAGAGGACTGCTATCTCATAGGGTTATTATAAGGATTACATGAGTTCATAAATGTAAAGCAGAGAGCCTGGCACATAGTAAATACGATAAGTGTATTTACTAGATACTCTAAGGAACCTAGGTGCCTAACAGTGGTTAAGTAAACCATATTGTATCCACTTGATAGATAGTTATGCAGCCCTTAGAAATTAGTTTGGAAGACTATGTCAATAGCATCAGAAAGCTTTTATGATATGTTTTAGAAGGAGGATACAAAATTATACGAATACTGAAAATATCTGGGCTTTGGTTGATAACAAGGTGTCGATGCAGGCTCATTGATTGTAACAACTGATGTGCGCTCCGCTCCGGTGAGGAGTGTTGACAGTGGCGGGCTGTGCACGGGGGACTGTATGGCAACTCTGTACCTTCTGCTCAGTTTTGCTCTGAACCTTACACTGCTCTAAAAAATAATGCTTATTCAAAAATAAAGAAAAAAATTATAAGAATATTATTATAAGTATGCAAATGCAAACATACATATTGAAATATAAAATTAAGGGAACTCTGAAATCCTCAACAGCGTGGATGAACCTTAACGATGTTATACTAAATGAAATAAGGCACTCACGAAAGGATAAATACTGTGTGATTTTACCTATACGAGGTGCTTGGAATAATCAAAATTTATAGACAAAAAATAGGATGGCGGTTTCTGGGGGCTGGAGGAGGGGCATGGGGAAGTTAGTGTTTGATGGGGACAGAGTTTCAGTTTCACAAGGTGAAAAGGGTTCTGGCCATGGGTGGTGGTGATGGTTACACAGCTATGGTTGTACTTAGTGCCCCTGAACCGTGCACTTAAGAATGGTTGAAATGGTAAACTTCATGTGTATTTTACCACAGTAAAAAATGAGTATGTATAAGATGAGAGTTAGAGCAAGAGAGAAGCCCTGCGTGTGGTTTTCTCTGTTTTCCAGTAGAGATAAAAATAACCTGGGCCGGCCCGGTGGCACACTGCTACAGTGCGCTGCTTGGGAGCGCGGCGGCGCTCCCGCCGAGGGTTCGGATCCCACATACAGACCGGCCGCTCACTGGCTGAGCGAGGTGCGGGCGTGACACCGAGGGTTGCGATCTGTTGCCGGTCACGAAAAAAGACAAAAAGGAAAAAAAATAATAATAAAAAAATTAAAAAATAACCTAAAACAGGCTCTCGTGTGCCCTGCTTCTCACTCACTACAATGTCATTTCTCAGGACCCCTATGCCAGCTATGATGTCAATGGGAATGATTACGACCCGTCCCCGCGATACGACGCCAGCAATGAGAACAAGTATGTCCCCGTCTCCTCCTCCTATTCCCCTCACCCTCCTTGCAGGGTCGCAGCTGCGCTTCCACGCGGAGTCCTGAGGGCGATGGGCAGTGGCACTGTGGGGCTCACCCGAGTCAGAAACCACGCCCGGCCCAGCCCGGCCCGCAGGCAAAAGGTGGCTGCTGTGGGTTTAGCCTCTGCCTTTAGGGAGGTCACCTCTGCTCGTCAGCTAGAAATGGGCATTTGACAAACATTGTTCCTGTTTCCAACTGTGTCGGAATGTCTTAAAAGAATAACCCTTAAGTCTAGCAGTCTCTGCGACTGGCTGTGCTAAGACAGCAATGTGGTCTACTTGAGAATATGGGTCACATGCCTGAGCTTTTGTGCCTCCGTGTGTGACCATATGAGCCAAGAGGAAGGGGCATGCTTGATGCTGGACAGATCCAGGCTCGGCTGCTGGCTCCACCACTTATTGGCCATGTGGCTTTGTGCATGTGTCTTAGAGGCTGTTCCATGGAGGTGACACTCTTGCCTTACAGGGTTTTGGGGAGGGTGAGTGAGATGATGCGGGTGCTCAGGAAATAAAGGCTGTCATTGTCACCTTCATTTTGCAAATGAGGAAGTGAGGCCCAAGAAAGCAGGTGATTTGAACAATGTGAGGCAGCCCTGGGGCTGGTCCTGGACATTCAGGTACTGTGTGCTTGTCCTTTCTCTGTCTGCATGCCCCATGCCCCATGCCCCATCCCCCATGCCCTGAGCGCTTACCATTCTTCCAAAAACAGTTAGAGGAAATTATCAAAAGCCCTTTCTTTCCTCCCCACTATTGACGCTTGCCAAGGTGTATCCTCCCACTGCAGTATTTTTTAGTTCGTGGTGATTAGATTCCATGGCCTGCCAACCAATGCCACGCAGTGCTGTGCAGGAAAGCTTGGCCGGCTGATGTGTTTGAATAGATAGCTGCAGAGCCCCAGCCTCAGGGCTGCTTTCTCTGCCTCTCTCTCCAAGGTGCCCTTCTCACACTGCAGTGAGGATGCCTGGGGCAAAGGGGTCAGTCTCCCGGCCACATGTCCAGGGCGGGACAGGGAAGAGGAGTGACCCAGACACCAGGCAGTGACCCGTGAAGGGCGGAATTGCCTCTGGCATGAGACATTGAGCTCTGCATTTACAACCCTGGCTGGGGCTGCACGAGTTCCAGAGAAGGGCGGGTGCCCCCTTCTCAAGGGCAGCGGGTTCTGGACTCTCTTTAAGCTGTAAATTTGAATCAATGATTCTCTTCCCCCGTGGACTCTTCTCAAAGATGTGCTATTAAAAGTTGCCCATATTTTGACTTCCACTGGAGGCATTGACCCAGTGTGGCCCGTTGGAGAAAGGGGTCATTACTGAGGAAAGCAGTTTGTTTTTCTGGTAATTTCCTCCTAGTCCCTCTGCTGCTGTTGAGCATTCAGTTTAGCGTGTTCTTCCTCAGCTCCTGCTTATGTGGCTGTAGAAGTGGGGGCGGGCCGTCCCAGGGCGAGCATGTGTTGTAGGTGCAGAGGACAAGGCACGAGTACCAGTTTGCTCTTTCTTTCGTCCTGTCGGGTTCGCGGTGACACTGCACCTGTACGTGCTGGGTGACACAGAGCTGAGGCAGCATGGCCCCGGCCTGTAAACAGCAATGGCAGTGTGCCAGCCACAAACGCCAGGAGCGGGGAAGCAGGGGGCCACGGTGCTGGGAGCAGGCACCCCCAACTCCAACTGGGGGGTCAAGGAAGGCATCCTGGAAGAGACAACCATGAGCCAGCGCTTGCCTTCAGCAGGGTGGCCGTGGGGCCATGCAAACCCTGGCTTGACAATCCCTCCAGAGGAGTGGTGGTGATGAGAGGGGACACAGAGAATGGGCTTCAGTGTCATCCCTGGGCTCAGGGACGACTGGCTGTCTTTGCACTGAACTCACTAAATGTTGCTGGGCTGCGTCCTAACTCCATGTTCTCCTTTGCATCAGACATGGCACTCGCTGTGCAGGAGAAGTGGCCGCTTCAGCCAACAACTCCTACTGCATCGTGGGCATAGCGTACAACGCAAAAATCGGAGGTAAGGCCTGGGGCACCACCTGGGAGCCAGGGGCCTGGGGCAGGGTGCCAGACAGCTCCCTTTCCAAGGGTCTCAGCAGCCTCACGTCCCTGGCCTTGGCTGTGTCAGACACATGGGCTGGAGGCAGCTTGGCCATCTGTGCACAGGCGGGTGGGGCTTCTGAGACAGGAATTGCCCACTGTTTTGTCTGCAGAGCCATCGAGGGTCCCATCAGAAGGGCACCCCCTTTCTGTCCCCTGGTCCTGCTAGCCTGGCTGCTGCCTCACCTCTGGCGAGCAGAGCACCCCTCCTAAAAAGCCACCTTGGTTCTTTCCTGCTCACAGTCCTTCAGTGGCTCCCCATCACCAGGTAGATTGACAGTCTACCTGGGAGTGAGGCCTTTCCTAGATTCTGACTCCCACTCAAGCCTGCTGGCCCACTTCTCCTGCCCCAGCCCCTCAGCTTTAGCCAGAGGACATTTGTCATCATGTCCCCCAAACATGCCTGGTCCTGCCTGTCTGTGCCTGGGCTCACACCATTCTCATCCCGGCCTCTCCCACCACTCCATTGGCTCAGTCCACCTGTGACTCACAGCCAGCTCACATCACACGCACTCTGCTCTGTGAAGCGCTCCCTGGATCCAGCCACCCCCATCTTGTTCACCAGGGGACCGGCTCTTCCTGGTCCCTGTAGAGAGCAGTGCTGACCCCGGGAGTATCTGGCTTTGTGGTTTAGCTTCTCACACTGGTAAGTCAAGCTGTCCTTCTAGGATGGGGCTTTGGAGTAGAGTCACATGTCTTTCTGTTCCCCCTGGAGCCTGGCAGTGTGACAACTCAGTCACCAAGTATTCTGAAGTGCCCATGAGATGCACATCACTGAGCCAGGAACTGGGCTGGAGGAGAGGGGTGCCACATAGTCTCGGAGACTGCCTACCTCACCTGGGAGGCCTGTCTGCATCTTGATTTGAAGATGCTTGAGCTCACTCAGATGGGCATGGTGGAAGCCACCTTCCCAGGGCGTCACTGTCCCTGCCACTGTGCCTTTGTGGGGACGGCTGCAGTCCTCTCAGCTCTACTTATGAGCAGGCCAGGGTCTCCGGATCACCCAGTCCTTGGAAAATTTCAAAATTCTTTTTTTTGTTTTTTGTCTTTTTTTGTCTTTTTTCGTGTCTGGCAACAGACCGCAACCCTCAGTGTCACGCCCGTACCGGACTGGGACCGGCAACGGGATCGCAACCCTCGGTGCTGCGCCTGCCCCTCGCTCAGCCAATGAGGGGGAACCGGTCTGTATGTGGGATCCGAACCCTCAGCGGGAGCACCGCCACGCTCCCAAGTGGCGCACTGTAGCAGTGCGCCACCGGGCCGGCCCTCAAAATTCTTGAGTTTCAAAAAGAGGGTCCCCAGTTTTTACTTAATTAGCACTCCCTGTTTTTCCTTTGGAAGTCTTTGGAGTGGCTGGGGTTTGTCATTCTGTGACAGAATGAACTCCAAGGATGTGTTCTGCAGAACAAATCAGGAGACTGTCAACTGGCCTCACTCCTCTGGGGACAGTTCTTTTACACTGAGGTGTGTACCTGGCCCTGGGCCTTTGATGATGAGTGAAGACCCCTGAGCTGTAGAGTCAGGCTGACTTGGGGGCCAATCCCATTCCCACCCCTCACTGGCTGTGTGTTCTCGGACAATTTACATAACCTTTCTGAGCCAAGGTTTCTTCACTTGTGGGGGGAAATGGCAATGATGCAGCTGCCTCCTCAGGTCTGTTCTGACGATGAAATTAGATACCGTGTGTGACACTGGCTCAAGGCTAAGCCTGCAGGGAGTGGCTGATCTCCATCCCTCCTGTCGAAACTCTCAGAGGGAGAATAAAAATGATTTGTGTTGCTTCAAGTGGAGGGGGTGGACCCCACCTTTGGGGTTGTTGTGCTTTGCTCTCAAAGGCCCTAGACTGGCAGCATTGACATCGCCTGGGAGCTGTTAGAAATGCAGAATCCCCCACCTCAGACCTACTGAGTCAGAGTCTGCATTGTGACAAGATCCCCAGAGGATTTGTCTACAAATGACAATTTGGGAAGTGCTGGTTTAGAGGACTCTCTGGGGTCATGCAGGTAGGTGACACCTACATCATGGATTGTGAGGAAGAGTCAGTGGAAGTAACCTACGTGACGAATCTCTCTGAGAAGGTGCACAATAAATACAATTTGTTTCATTAGATAGCAAAATTGCATACCTAATTTTCCCAGATCTGGAGAGAGTGCCTCCACTTGCAGGGCTTGGGGACAGGAATGCTTTTCAATGAATGCACTGAATATTGTTGAGCACTTGCTGCATGTATAATACTGGGCCAGCCATTGAGGGGGAGAAGAAAGAGATAACAGACACAGTTTGGGACCTTCAGGAGCTCAGCATGTCTTTGGGGTAACAGTACCAACAGGGAAGACAGTATGGGACCACGTGCTGAAATGACAGGGGCAGTAAGGGAGCTCCAGGAGTGGCAGGCAGGCACCAAGTGAGGGCAGAAGTATGAAGGTCTGGCTTGGGCTCAGTACAGAGAGAGGATTCAGCTGCAAATGGCAGGAGTGTGCAATGGAATGAGCAGCCTGGAGCTGGGGCAAGCATGCCACATGCAGACGGGGGACTTGAGGAAGGCTGTGCAGAAAGGCAGGTATGGGATTAGGCTGGCCTTGGCCCAAGGACCCTGTGACAGCTGATGGCTCCGAATCTGCTGTCCACAGCTTCAGCCTCTCCAAACAGGCAGCCTTCCCTCCCTCCAAGCCCACTTCTGGGTGGGGCAACTTTTTGGTGCCCCTAACATAGCCTTTCCCTCTGAATGTGGGGACACAGCAGGGGGTTTACCTGAGTTGCCCCCCGAGCTGACCACAGAGCTATACCTTTTCATATCTTGATTTTTTCTTTTTCTTTTTAGTCTCTGGTGATTATAATGTATATCCTAACTTATCCCAGTCTATCTGGAATTGATGGTATACTACTTCATGTGTAATGTGTAAATCTAAAACAGATTGTTTCAGTTTACACTCACTCTTATCCTTTGTGCTGTTGTTTTTATAATATTTTGCTTCATATGTTATAAGCCCACAGTGCATTGCTATTATTCTTGCTTTAAACACTCAGTTGACTTTAAAATACTTATGAGAAGACATATACTCACCTACACCAGTAGCACTCCCAGGGCTCTTCCTACTTTCTCTAGCTTCAGATTTCTATCTTGGTTGCATTTTCCTTCAGCCTGAAGAATTTCTTTTAGTATTTTTTGACATTCAGGTCTGATGGTGAGAAATTCTCTCAGATTTTATCTGAAAGTGTCTTTACTTCACTTTTGAAAGAAATTTCACTGATCGTAGAATTCTAGCTTGACAGGTTTTTCTTTCAACACTTTAAAGAGTTGTTTCATTGCTCCTGACACCATTGTTTCTGACGATGAGTCACTCGTCATGCTTATTGTTGTCCCCCTTTATGTAATGTGACTCCTTACTCTGCTTTTATAATTTCTTTTTTAATGTATGCTTTGCCTGTGACTTTCATTAAAGTCACCTTTTGTATAATTTTCTTTGTATTTATCCAACTTGGGTCTTGATGTGCTTCCTAGTGGGTTGTTCTTTTTTTCTAAATCAAATTTGGAAAAAATTTTGTCAATATTTCTTCAAATACTTTTTCAATTCCATTTTCTCTCCCTTCTCTTTGGGTACCAGTTATAGTTGTTAGACTGCTAACTACACCTCACAGGTTATTGAGGCTTTGTTCATTTTTTAAAATCCCTTTTTTTCCTGTATGTTTCAAATTAGGCGATTTCTATAGTACTGTCTTTAGGTTCACTTATCCTTTCTTTTGTTTTGTCTGGTTTGTTCTTAATCCCATCCATTGATTTTTTTTTTTCTTTTTAAATCAGATATACTTCCCTGTCTTATGATTTTCATTTCATTCTTTTTATTTTAGACTCTTTAACATGTTTGTTAAGAGTTTCTTTAAAATCTTTTGTACTAATTCCAATATCTAGTTTATTTGTGGATATGTTTCTAATAACTGATTTTTCTCTACAATGGATTATGGATTCCTGTTTCTTTGCATATGTCTAGTAATTTTTTATTGTACAGTAGACATTGTTATGCTAAATTGTAGAGATTCTGGATTCCATTGTCTTTGAATACCATTGAGTTTTGTTCTAGTAGTTAAACTGAACTTGTGGAGATTTGATACTTCATTTTTTTATGGTTGGTCTCTTTTTGATTTGTCCTTGGTCTTAGGGACAATCCCTTAGCCCAGGAACATAGTCTTTACTCCCAGACCATGATCCTTTTGGTTTTTCAATGGAAAACCTGAAATGTTTACCAAGACCTCTTATTTTACAAGACTCAAACTCCAGATTGACTCCCCTGCAATGGGCAGCAGCTGAAATACCTGCTCAGCCCATTCCCCTTTTCATCTGTTGTTTTTCTCCTGGATTTCTCACAGTCTTGCCCAAGCAGTTCAGGGTCAGCCACGTATTCAAGACGAGTTTATATGTCCTCCTCTGTAGCTCTCTCCTTTCTGAGATTTATCCTCTCCATTTCCAGCTGCTTTGGCAGTCTCAATCTCCATCCCCTGCCTCCTCAGGAGAATAAGATTACATTTTTCTGATTTAGTTCTAGCCTCTCTGCACCAAGGGAAATGGGGAGTTCCCACAGAGGAAAAGTCATGTAATCTCAATCATACCCAGTATGGTTCTCTTCTTCTTTTAGGAATCAAACCCCCTGCCTGCCTCTGCCTTTTTCTAGTTGCTCTCTAATACCCTTAAAAAGTAGTTTTTTTAAAAAATAAATGTTTTGTCCAGAGTTTATCATCTTTAGAAGAGTTAGTCTGATATGAGCTACTCCGCCATCTTGAAACTAAAGTTTGTGGTTTATTTTGCGTTACCAAATGGATTGTGTGTTATCTATTGCTGCATGACAATTATTCCAAAATGTAGTTGCTTAAAACAATAAACACCTGTTATTTAGCACACATAAGGGCTTAGCTGAATGGCTCTGG